ACTCCAGTATTCTTCTCTGAGAAATCCCATGGACAGAGGAGCCTGGCAGGCTGCAGCACCAGGGGTCACAAAGAGTCGGGCACAGCTGAGCGACTAAACACCACCACCACCACCTCTGACCATCCCACTCCCCAAAGAAAGGTCAGCTTTTGCACCCTCTGCACGGACAGCTCAGGGAGGAAATGAGAGGCTGCAGCCCCTGGGGGTGGCGTTGGGACAGGCGGCCCCCAGGGGCAGAGGGTGTGGACCTGTGGGATGGAGCCCCCAAACCACGCAGCCACGCCCAGCACTTTCCGCACCCCCACTCACAGCTTCTACACAAACTGGCCAAACATTTTGCTTTTTTAAAAAGTTATTAGCATTTCCATATGTCTGCCTTTGAAGTTAATAAGGTATATTTTAAAATTCCATTCCAACCCACACAAAGCTCTCCCTTCTCTGATCTCACACTGCACTTGGTGAGGACCACACAGTTCAGTATTTAAGGCTCTCTCCATGTTTCATATAGAAAAACTCTGCGTGGCCGCGAAAGGTGATTAGCACACTGTGTGGCAAACAGAAGGTGCTTTTAAAAGTACATACATACACCTACACATATATCCATACATAACAATCTTGTTTCAGGAAAAACAGACCTTTCTCGGCATTTGTTTTGCACCAGCAAAGTGCTAAGCACATAGCAAACATGATACACACCATGCCCATCTGGAACCATCCCCTTGTGTGCTAAGAGACATGTTTCATGTTAACTGAAATATGAAAGGGAACCCGTCCAGTTTTCTTTGGTAATATTTGAGCCATACACTGTAAAATAAATGAAAAGAGACTGAATTGGGTCATGGTCTTGTTTGTTTGCTTAAAAAGGGACTGGTGATGATCTCTTGAGTTTGCAACATTTTGTCTGCCAACGCAGCAAAACTGATGGAAGAAACATGTGTCTTTCCAAAAGCAATGCAAGCTCCCATGCAAGTTCCTCTTTTCAGTTCTAAAATATCAGTCACAACAGGCCACAGACCTTGGCCTCAGCCATCCTTTTCAGGAACCACAGTGGCCTCCCTCTCACAGCCTGTAGGAGGCAGAGGGCCTGGTGGTCACCAGCGGGAACTGGCTGGGAAAAGAACTGCCCTGGCCATTTTTAGTCTCCTTAGGATGGGGAGGACACAGAGGTGCCTGGGATCATTCCTGGCACCTGTGGTCATGGCACTTATGCAAACATCCACTGCTGCTGCTGCTGCTGCTACATAACCAGCCTTGACTCATAAGTGGCACATTAAAGCAGCTCCCAAATTCACTGTTTTAACTGTAGCCCTTGACAACAGGCTCCTCCTCCATAGGGCAGACGGTGGTCTTTTTGAAGCGGCTCTCTGGGACTGATTCGGAATAGTCTGCTTGTCTGAACAAACCACTCAGGCCTGGAAGGCAGCCGCTACCTTGCTATGGGGACCAGGGAGGATGTCCCACACTCCTGGCCTTCAATAACAAAGAAAACCCAAGGACTGTGACGTCCCTGTGTCTCTGGTCAGGGAAGAGTGCTGACCTGTAGCCTCACCAGGGGGAACCACGGAAGCCTTTCTGAGCCCAGCCTGAAGTGACCATGAGGGAAAATGGCCTGAATGTTAGCATTAAAAACAAAGGAACATGGATGGACCCAGAGACTGTCATAGAGAGTGAAGTTAAGTCAGACAGAGAAAAGCAAACACTGTATCAGTTCAGTTCAGTCACTCAGTTTTGGGTCTGACTCTGAGACTGCATGGACTGCAGCACACCAGGCTTCCCTGTCCATCACCAACTCCTGGAGCTTGCTCAAACTCATGTCCATCGAGTCGGTGATGCCATCCAACTGTTGTCCCCTTCTCCTCCTGCCTTCCATCTTTCCCAGCATCAGGGTCTTCTCCACTGAGTCAGTTCTTTGCATCAGGTGGCCAAAGGACTGGAGCTTCAGCTTAAGCATTGAGTCCTTCCAATGGAATATTCAGGACTGATTTCCTTTAGAATTGACTGGTTTGATCTCCTTGAAGATCAAACATGGTATCATAATGCACACATGTGGAATATAGCAAAATTGTATAGATGAACCTGTATGCAAAGCAGAGACAACGGACGTAGAGAACAAACATGGAAACCAAGGGAAGAAAGGACGGGTGGGATAAATCGGGAGCTTGGGATTGACATATACACATTACTATGTATTAAGTGGATAACTAATGAGAAACTACTGTATACACAGGGGGAAGAAAAGAAGGTACAATCTGTTTGTAGGACATATACTGAGTTAGCATTAAAAATGCATTACAATATATATCAGGTGCAGACAGATATTGTTTGAGTCCATTTATAGGAGGTACCTAGAATAAAATTCACGGAGACAGAAAGTAAACAGTAGGTGCCAGGGGTGGGGGAGGGAGAGTGCGGACTTAGTGTCCAATGGGGACAGAGTTTCTGTTTAGGAAGATAAAAAACTTCAGGAGATGAATGATGGTGAGAGCTGCATAACAGTGTGAATGCACTCAGTGCCATTGAACTGTACAGGCAAATATGGTGAAAATACTGTTTTATATTATGTAACTTTTACCAAATTAAAAAAAAAAATTAAAGAAGAAAAAAGAACAAAGGAACAGAAAATCCCTGGCCTCCCACTGAGAGGAAGTGTGTCTCTTGATTAACTGCTTGAGGTATCGCCAGGGAGTCTGGGCTCCCACATCCCAGCCATCCACCACCCTCACTTCTCCAGGGAGTCGCGGCCCCCACCTCCCAGCCATCCACCACCCCCACTTCTCCAGGGAGTCGCAGCCCCCACCTCCCAGCCATCCACCACCCCCACTTCTCCAGGGAGTTGCGGCCCCCACCTCCCAGCCATCCACCACCCCAACTTCTCCAGGGAGTCGCGGCCCCCACCTCCCAGCCATCCACCACCCCCACTTCTCCAGGGAGTCGCGGCCCCCACCTCCCAGCCATCCACCACCCCAACTTCTCCAGGGAGTCGCGGCCCCCACCTCCCAGCCATCCACCACCCCCACTTCTCCAGGGAGTTGCGGCCCCCACCTCCCAGCCATCCACCACCCCCACTTCTCCAGGGAGTTGCGGCCCCCACCTCCCAGCCATCCACCACCCCAACTTCTCCAGGGAGTCGCGGCCCCCACCTCCCAGCCATCCACCACCCCCACTTCTCCAGGGAGTCGCGGCCCCCACCTCCCAGCCATCCACCACCCCAACTTCTCCAGGGAGTCACGGCCCCCACCTCCCAGGCATCCACCACCCCCACTTCAGCCCAGATCCGTCCCGGTGGCGGTGGTTCACAGGACGGACTCTGAATCAGCTGCTCTGAAAGAAGTCATCTAAAGGGACTTCTCCACTGGTCAACAGTGAAGGTGGGAGACAGATAACTCTGGGGGAACTGGAGAGAGGGGAGCGAGCACCTCTCAAGTATTTACTGGTGGCAAACTATGAACGCTCTGACCAGAGGCCCAAGGCTGTTTTCTCTGACATTTCCCACTCCTCCCGAAGGGCCCTGAGTGCAGGCCTGAGACGCGAGAGCCACTAGCGGAGGTTCCAGAGCCCCACGGACAAGCCCCCTTTACCGCCGTGTGGAGAACACTCTGTCGCGCTCACAGCTGGGCCAGTCACAAAGTCCCTGGGAAAGGAGGCAGGGGTCCTGTCCACAAACTCCCGCAGGGTCACCAGCCTAGCACCTGATAAATCAGTTACTAAAACAGGTCCTGGCCTTCTGGGGACTGGGGATCGAGTAACACTCAAAAGGGGGAAAAACATAAAAAGTAAACCCGTGCTGCAAACCCCAGAGAAAAGAGAACTTACAGTTCAGACGTGCATGGCAGGAAAATGGAAATAATTAAAGAGAGCTGCTAAGTACATGCAAACTTCCTGAAGTGAGGGCAGTCACTGCCTTGTGTCCACCGAGCCGACCGATGGCAAGAACTGGAACCACCAAGCTTAACTTAAGAAAACAGAAAAATAGCAGCTCCCCCGCATTAAAACCTGTATTTCTGTAGAAGAAACGACATTAGAATGCTCTGAGTTTGAATTATGACAAAGGTCCACTTTAGGAGGCAAGCCATTTGTAATTCTAGAATCCTTAAGTTACAGAAATTTAATAGCTGTGACCTTGGATGTTAAAAAAAAAAAAACAACCCATTGTAGTTAGGCTTTTGTCCAACTACCTCCATATCCTTTGGAAATAAATCCTCCAGCATTGTGTGATGGCTCTGACTGGCCATCAGGGAAAGAAAAGCTAACAATCTTGTAGGGGCCTCACGTTAACCCAGAGCACACTTCCTCCAGCATGGTCCCTTGAGAGGCTTGGGTTTCTGAATGGGGAACACACACACCCACTTTTTCCGAGCTGCCGACCCCCTGGCCTTCGTCCCTTTGTGGAGTGTGCAGTCTACTGGCAGAGGCCACTTGTAAATTGTAAATTGTTTTCCGGGACCTTCCAGGACTCGCCCCTTGGGGCGGGGTTCCCACCTGCGCCCCCTGGGTGCTGTCGCCTCCTGACCCCGTCGCCTCTGAGCATCCCCCACCCAGCTGTGGTTCAAGGTCCACCTCGAACGCCCTCTCCTCCAGAAAGCCTTTCTCTTTAGGCCTGAGTGGAGTCCTCTGGACGCACTGCGCTTTCCAGGGCAGGCTGGTTGAAGAGCAGTTTTTCTCCCTTACTGGACCGTCGGCACATTAGTTCTGCATCCTCATCTGACTCAGCATCACACCCACAGCCCGCGCACATAGGGTCTGCTCAGCCCACACCCCAGCGCCTCCCCACAGTGCTGTCCCACCTGCAGGCGGGCAGGCAGGCGCCAGGACCCTGGTCTCCAGTCCTCCCGCCCGCGTGTTCCGGGCGTCCCACCCGTCTCGCTGCCCCTCTGAGAAAGCAGAGTGTGGCGGGATGGCCCTGCCCTCGGCCCTGTCCACGAGAGACTCCCCCGGCCTCCAGGCCTGGCCTCCTGGGCGCGGGAGGACAGGGCTAGGAGCGGTTGCAGCTCTTTCTGCAGCCCTACCCTGGCCTTGCGATGCGGCAGGGAGGCCACCCAGAGCGAGCCCTTCCTCAGCCGTCAGGTCACCTCGGGGCCTCACAGATGGAAGAGGGGGCGGCAGGGAGAGCTGCACGTGACAACCAGGGCAAGAGGCAGGAGGACGCGGCACGCCCCGGCCTGGTCGTCGGAGAGCGGAGGGCGGAGGAGGTGACTCTGCAGGTGGACTTTGTAGCTGGAGGAGGCCCAGGCCACGGGAGGGGTGGGTGGCGAGCCCTCCCATCCCTGGTGGTCCTGAGGGGCTGACACCACTGCCCACTGACCTCGGAGCCAGCGGGGCCTGAGGAGGGGAGCTTCGGAAAATCACTGACCACCCACCAGGGGAGCCAAGAGGAGGCGACACCTGACTTGCCAAAGGAGGGTCTCCGGTCCTCAGCCCTGCCCAGCTCCCTGGGTGCTCTCTCCTGGGTGCATGGTTTCCTTATGCCCAGACCCCAGGCTGTGAGAGGCTGCAGACCGTGACCTCCAGGAAGGCAGGGACCGCGTGCGTCTCCCCTGCTCACCAGTCCATCCATGCACGGCATTTGGCACACACAGCTCGAATCTCATAACCACCTGTCAGATGACTCCTCAGCGGGCAAAACAGAACTCAGCTTTGGTTCGGATTTGGTTCCGAATCATTGGAAGCTGCACGTCGAGAACGCAGCTCACAGAGTAAATCAGCTCCTCCAGTCCACGGTTTATACAGAGGGGACAGAGGAGACAAAGAAAATCTCTAAATCAAAATCAACAGACATTTCCTGACAGTTAACTCAGGAAAATATCAGTTGTGATTTCTGCCAATAGGATGAGTACATATGTAGTAGTCCCTCTTATCCATGCTTTCATTTTCTGTGGTTTGCTACCCAAAGTCAACCAAGGTCTGAAAATATTAGATGAAAAATTGCAGAAATAAACAGCTCACAAGCTTTAAATTCTGCACCTGGGTAGAGTGACGAAATCTAGCAAAGTCCTCCTCCATCCCTCCCGGGACATACATCATCGTCGTGTCCAGCCTGTCCCGCGCATCAGTCACTTAGTGGCCTTGCTGTGACTGTCAGACGTATCTCAGTGCTTGTTCTCCAGTCACCCTCCTATTACTAAACTGTGGCCCCAAAGGGAAGAACAGGGATTCTGCCAATTCAGACCCACCAAAGAAAAGCTGGGAAAGACTTCTTCAAGTGAAAAGATGAAAGTTCTCAACGAGAAAAAAATTCATATGCTGGGATTGCTAATATTCAGTAAGAATGAACCTTCTATTCACGCAATCATGAAGGAAAAAGAAGTTTGTGCTAGTTTTGCTGCCACGCCTCAAAGTGCAGAAGTTGTAGACATAGTGAATGATGAGTGCTGAGTTAAGATGGAAAAATCATTAACTCTGTACAAGAAGGTATTCTGACAGAAAGAAACCATGTTCACATAACTTTTATTACAGTGTATTATTAATAAGTGCTCTATTTTATTATTAATTATTGCTGTTAATCTCTTATCATGCCTAATTTGTGAATTAAACTTTATCATGAATGTTTGTGTGTAGGAAAAACATAGGACACATCAGGCCTGGTACAACCCAAGGTTTCAGGCATCCACAGGCAGTCTTGGAATGTGTCCCCTGTGGATATGGGGGCTACTGCATTGGTTTGAATCTTCAAGTCACTGATTTGTGCAGAAACAGCGAGGATCCACAGCTCCGCTGACTACAGCAGTTTTAAAACTGCTCGTGTGGGTGAGGTCAGGCCACCTTGGTGGGGATGTAAGGCCAAGGGCAGAAAAAGCATGCCAGTAAGTCCTGGGCCATTTTCTTGCAAACACGCACATGCACACACCCCAGAACATACACACATGCACCCAGAACACAAGAACAGCAAACTGAAGTGGCTGTTTCAGCCAACGTTAAATTTCATCTCCGTCTGCTTCTTAGTAACCTGGTCAGACTCTAAGCTTTTTTCTCTTGTCTTCCCTTTTCTAAAAGAAAACATTCCCTAACCAAAATATGGAATTCATCTGCATTGTAATCCCAAGTGGAGCACAGACTCATTTCCTCTTGATCTGTGTTTCAATTACTCCCACTCACTCTCGTTTCTCATGGACAATGACTGGAAACACTCCCCAGTAGGAATTTCAACCGCCCTCTTTGAGACAGATGTTTTGGAAACCACTGACAAGCTGCCCGTCACTGTGAGGGACTCTCACAACCACTCAGGTCCAAGCTGTGCAGGCTTCCCCACACCCAGCTCTACCACCATCTGTAAGACCTTAGGTTCTGTTAGATCAGCCAGATACCTGTTATGTAGCAATTTTTTCTCCACATCCCCTTTAACCAACACATTCCCCATCAGGAGGCCACATCTGAGGCCCTATTTCAGCAGTCATCTTCATCTGCTACGGCGTCAAGAGTGGGACTTCTCAGGTATGTCTCTGTAACGATCCAGTACAGCAAATCTTTCCATGAAAAAATGACTTTCAGGAAGTGCATGAGGCGCTTGGGAAAGAAAAACGAACTTGTGTGAGCCACTAGGACCTGTTCATAAATTTCTTTTTTTTTTTTTTTTGTTCATAAATTTCTGCTAGGCAAATGGGGCCCTGGTGGCTTGAGAGAGTTATTGCTCAATACTTCCTAGCACCCACACAAGTTCATGTTTCTCCCGAAGAGGGGGTGCCTCACTGGCTCTATGAGAGAAACGCAGTACAAGCTTCAGTCTTGTTCTGGTGTGATGCATGGAGGCCGAGTGTGCAGGCCACCTGGATGTGCTGTGAAATAGTTTCTCAAACAGTTCCAGCTTTCCCAAATGCACCTATAAAAATAAAACTAAATGTCTCTTAAATTCACTCTTTAGGGGACCTACCTTGCTCCAACAGAGTCAATGGACGGGAGAGAAGTTTAAGCAGAACCTAGCCCTCTCACTGGAAACATCTGGTTACTGGGAGGAATAAGGAATAGGTTTGTGCATGTTTGGAAGGTCACCAAGTAAGAGAACATACCCTCTCTATCTTTACCCAGCCCTTGCTAAGGCCATGATACAGAAGAGGAACTGGAGAAGCTGCACTGCCATTCGAGAAAAACATCCAACATTTAAGAACTTAAAACTTGTGCAAAAGCTTCCCATCTGCCTTAGCAATGCTACCTGCTGCTGTGGCTGCAAGAATTCTAATTTCTCCTGCACCAGTAAAACTGTGGGTGACTGTGAGCCATCAAATTCAGGCACAAACACACACTTCCAGGCCTGCACATGCCTGCTTAGTTTAGTACACACGGGGAAGGTTAGACCTTTGGCTCCTTTTCTCTTCCTTCTTTTATTTTTCCCAGTGAGGATGATGTATATGCAATACCACATGTCAACTTTATATGAAGCAGACTTGGACAGGGTTGATCATGAAGTTGTATAGTAACTGACAAGAAAGACATTTTTCGAACTAGGTATCCTTAGGTACTCTACTTAGCAAAACCATTCGGGTGGAAAACCCACACAAACATAAAAATTTAAAAAGGGACTAATAGAGAGAAGCAATGAAGCAGAACACTGAAGGACATAAACTCTACTCAAAGGGACCCGTCCCCAGCTCCATCACTTTATCAGCTATGTGACCTTGGGCAAATGATTCAGTCTCCAAGCCTCAGTTTACCCATATGTGAAATGGGGAGAATAGAACCTACATGTATTAGCACCGACATGTATCCAAGGCACAGCACTCAGCCAGCGGAAAGCTCTCAGTAATGGTAGCTTTTATCACATGACTCTTACAAAGCTTCTGCCCTGGACTCACTGGGGTTTACTTAAGAACGACACACCCTGGCAGAGTCACCTGCACTGATGCCTAGACTCGGCCTCATGTTCCCCTTGCCATTTAGAGGTCAGAGTCTGCACGCTCTGTTTATACTGACTAAGTTTCCTGGTGACATAGTAGTTACCCAGAAACAAGTATTTGTTTAGTTCTTTGCTTTCTCGCTGCTTCCAAATGTCTGTGGATTGATCTACGCAGATCCCAGAAATGTAATCATTACTTGCTTGGCTAAAGAGGCTTCTCTCCGTGTTTGTTTTTACTAGAAGTCAGTCCTCTGAACCTGCGGTTTGCAAACTTTCTTCTGAGCACAGAACACGATTTATCAAATGGAATCTGACAAGAAACCCTAGTTCTGTGTATGAGACGGATCAAAGCAGAACATGCTGATTAAAAAGTAAGAGGCTGACAAGGGCCACCTTGCTCCCATCATAACCGTTACCTCCAGGGAGCCCCTAAAATGCTCCCAGGAACTGCCGCACTCTGGCACATGCTCAGAAAAACTCGGATCTAAATTGTTCTCGCAACTCAGTCCTCACGGCCCTCAAACGCCACATGGACTGACCTCGAAGAATCTCAAGGCGGAGCTCCAGCTTTTCTCCTCCCAGCCTTATCAGTGACAGCAAAGTCAGAGACCCACAACCACGATCCCTCGCTTACCCACTGTCCCTAATGTGGCGACGGTCTGCGAGGCATGTGGGCCTGATTTTCTGGTTTTACTGACTTAGACCTGAGGCATATCAATCCCTGAAGGAAAGGCACTAGGACCTCCATGTTCACACAGAAACCAGGGTACTGGCTTCCGAGGGAGCCAAGTTCCACTTGGAGTTTTTTGTACCCATTAGGCCGTGGCTCAGATGGTAAAGAATCTGCCTGCAATGCAGCAGACCCGGGTTCGGTCCTTGGGTCAGGAAGATCCCCTGGAGGAGGGCAGGGTAACCCACTCCAGTATTCTTGCCTGGAGGATCCCACGGACAGGAGCCTGGCGGGCCACAGTCCATGGGGTCACAAAGAATCAGACACGACTGAACGACTAACCACACACACAGGCCATGACATGTAAACCAGGGTCAATCTAATGTAACAAAACCCCACAGAACTGCCAGTGAAAATGACATGGCCAAGGTGGAATACAGACTCCTCACAGCGCCTGTGAATTCCCAGCACAACGCTCACACATATGACATGCAACGGGGACAAGAGATGAGACAGAGAGTCTGAGCAGGGGATGAGAATACTGAAGCCGCTGGAGAAAGCCATGGCTTTAGGAACTCAAGACTGGGAGGCAGTCCCCCCGCCCCGCCCTCCGCTGCACGGCTGCTCAGCGGAAGCCAGCGGACACGTAACTGTGGGAAGGCAGGGGGGAGAGGCGACTAGGCCAGGGTGGTCTGAGGGGAACCGCCAGGAGGGATGAGGCTGCAGCCAACGAACGAGAGGTCCCAGCCAATCGTGAGGCATGAGCTTCCTCCACCGAAGAAGCCGGCCCTTCTCCCCGGGGGGAGGCTGCAAGACTCCCAGCCTGAGTCACTCGGAAACAGATTTTACAAAGCGCTGCAGAGTTTCCCGGGGAGCCATCTGGCCATGACGAAGGAAGAGGCTTCTCCAGCTCCAGCCTCCCATGGTTCTCGCGTCCTTCTGCTTCTCCCCAGCTCACTGCGGCCAGCATGCCTCTGGCGTGACTGTCACGATCCTCCAGCTTGAGCATCTTCAGATGGACACGGCTCTGCCTGAGGCTTCCTGCTGCAGTGTGTGAGGCCTGCAGCCCCAGATCCCCCGTCCACGGCTCGACCTGGCCTTGGGGCGCTGGGAGGACGGCGGGGGTGATGGCCCAGGACCTGGCGCCGTCAGGCCATGGCAGGCGGCAGCACCCAGGCGGCATCCACTTCCACACCTCACCAGGGCCTGCCAAAAACGGGCCCCTTCGACATCTGCTAATCACATTTGCTGCACGGAGCCAGGAATAATTACACCCGCTCTCTGACGGGAACGCTGGCAAGGTCTCACACCCCCGCAGCTGGTCGGCGGGTGGGGCAGATGTCTGCTGGCATCTCATCACTAAGCTGGGAGAGCGAGCCCTCAGTGACCCCGGTCACCTTCGGAGCGAGCTGTCGGCCCAGCCGTCGGCAGAGCGTTGGGTGGGCGGGCTCCACCGGCCCCCTCAGCCCCTCTAGCCTTCCTGAGGCCGTGCCTTCTCTGATTAGGGACCGTTTCCTGGTGCCGTGACTCACATGCCACACACATTAGGTTCTTGTTAACTGTTCACGTGACTCGGGTTTCTGGAAAATCCCTGTCCAGAAATTCAGTTTTAAGCCGTAAAAGTTTCATAGGAAGTATCTGATTAGATAAACAACCGTACTTTTTCGGTCTCGTTTCAAAGTTTTTGTTGGGTGCTACTGCTTATGCTGGCGTGTCTGTTGACTGTGGGAGTGTAACAAAGTGCCTCAAAACTCAGTGGCTTGAAACAACGGTGACGTAACACTTCTCACGGCTCCGTGAGTTGCCGGGGCTCACTCACGCGCTGTTCTCAGTTGGGTCAGCTGTGCCAAAGGTCTCAGAGGCTTCAGTCACACAGCTGGCAGGCAATGGGGCACCTCAGCTCTCCCCTCACTGGCCTCTCATCCTTTTGCAGGTCAGACTGGCTTCCTCACGTGGATGTTTCAGGGCGAAGCCCCAAGAGGGCAAACGTGAGGCGGCAGGATTTCTAGAGATCTGGACTCTGGAACTCACACCCCACTTGGGCTGCGTCTGTCACCCCTGGCAAGTCAGAGGCCACCTCAGACTCAAGGGGTAGGGAAACGGCTCCAGTTCTGGATGGGAGAGCTAGAAAAATCTGAGCCCATCTATTGCACGTCAGCATCTCCCCCACCGTGTCAGAGTGACATGAGTTCTGGAGATAGTCTGCAAGTGATTTTAGATCAAAGGGGCCCCAGGACAAATGCTGAATGCTGTGAGCCACCCTTAAGATGTCACAGCAGCCATTAACCCGGTAAACTCTCTGAGAAGTCTCACAATAAGAATAAATCCTGCTTAACTTTGACTGATGACGAACAAACACATTTATAGAAGCAAAGGAACCTAGAACACCATTTTGGAAAGTGTGGTCATGAATCTTGGATTTGGGGAACGATTTTAGTTGAGTGTAACTAGCTTTTCAAAAAAATTTTACTTATTTACTTGACCGTGCTGGGTCTTCATAGCCGCGCGGGCTCTCTCTTGTCACAGAATGTGGAGCTCTCATTGCAGCGGCTCCTTCTGTACAGCACAGGCTCCGGGAGCTGCAGCTCGAGGGCTCGGTACCCGTGGCTCCCGGGCTCTGGAGGACAGGCTCAGTAATTGTGGTGCACAGACCCAGTTGCTCCATGGCACACGGATCTTCCCGGCTCAGGGATCGAACCCATGTCTCCCGTACTGGCAGGTGGCTTCTTAACCTCTGAGCCAGCAGGGAAGCCCAACACACTTTGTCTTGATGTCTTTTGAAACATCCCAGAAATGGCCCGTGTCCAAAATACTCTCTAATGTGTGGAAGGGGCACATACTACCTCAAGCCCTGAGTTGAAGTCATAAAACTAAAGGTCACCACAGTTATCTTTCAGGTCATTAACCATGGAGAAATTTCTACTCAAGATCATTTTGATTAACCCTAAACAGTTTTTCTCGAAGTTGATGCACAAAGGTTTGGGGTCTTCATCTTCAGATATAATATTTTTGAGCATTGACAAAAGCCCTGATTTCTACAGAATGGATGTTGGGGTTCATGCTGCTTAACTTTCACAGCCTTAAAACTCAGTGAAAATAGCATAACCAATATTCTTCCACAACGAACTAATGAACCACTCAAGAACTACTCTACTTATCTACAGCCCCTGATCTGTACCCTCCCATACAATTTTCTGCTCAGGCAGAAAGAAAAGCTCATCCATCCTCAAAACTTGGCAGCTTTCGATTGTTATGGTATGGAAACAGTGAATCTAACACTGGTCATTAGACTATGATGATCTCAACAGTGGGTGAGATTTATACAGACAAGGCCAGGTCAAATCAAGATTTAGGGCTATTAGGTTGACAGCACTTACCAGATTGGAAATGACAAGAGCAATCCCCCTAGATTCGATGACTGGACACCCATCCCAGTCCCTGCACAAAGAGAAGCGTGCCAAGGCACAGGGAAGGCATACTGCAAACTGGATGCTACGTACAAGACTGAACACACATCCTATTTACTTTTGTTTTTCTTTTGTGCTGGGGATATTGACGGACAAGGGGTAGAGAGAAGGATTTGTGTGTCTGGCTGCTAGATCCATTTCTTTCATTTGATTATTCTAACATTCATTCACTAAAGGACAATGATTCACCCCAAGATACACGGCAGCCAGGGGCCAATTTACTAAATCAGACTCAAGAGGTCCTAACATTTCTCTCTTTGGCATCAAATACTTCTAAGTCTTCATCTTATGCTATGAAATCATCAGGGAAACATCTCCTGGATGGAATAAAAGTGAATCTACAGAGGAATGGGGAATTCCATGGGAAAAAACATTCCATGAATGATAAAAGAGGAAGCAGAAATTCCTAAGGGAAAAAGAATCATGAGTACACTGATCAGTTTAAGAAATAAACAAGGTGACTGTTTAGGGGAATTCTCTAGAAAAGCCACTTAAAGAGCCTTTTTGAGAGTGGCTGAACTATATGTAATTTTTAACTTGAGCAGCCAGAGGCTCGTCAGTCTAGAATTGGTGGGATGGTTACTCAGTAGACTTTCCCTGGGGCTTCTAGTGAGGTGTTTGGGAATCACTTTCAGCTCCTGCTCCTAATTCACCCTGAGAAATGTCCCCAGAGCCTGGACACCACACTGAGTTCTTTTCCCCTCAACCAGATAGCTACTCCATTGGAAATGAGACAAAAATGACAATAATTGGATTAAACTGTTAAATATAATGAGAGGGACAACCTGAGGCCAACTTACTGTTTTGTTTCTTTCCTCAATCCACATACTAAAGGATTCTAAGAGCAAGTGTACCCCTCGAGCATACCCCAAAGCACCAACATGCTAATGCCTATGAGACAACCTGTATAGAAAAGGGAAGCAATCAAGAGAAAAATAAGAACCACGAATTCCATATACTGTTAAATATAGCTAGATGTTTAGAACACAGAAATGTGAAACACTTGGGGCTGGATGGACTGATAGAGAAGACATGGCAAAGAAAGGATAAACCGTATACTTTATGCATAATATTGACCGCATATATGAAGCATGTCAATTTCCCCTTCAACAAGGCATTCACAGGCCTTACAAGGATCACTAACCAGCCACTTAGCACAAAATGTAGGTTTCACTGCCAGAAGGCTACACTGATGGCATTGTGAACCTTGCACAGGTTCTATAAGCTCCATCCATCATCCTGCACCTAAGTTGCTTCCACAAGAGCAGGATGTTTGACGGGAACATGGGCATGAGCCAATAGAAATAGTGTGACTGCGTGGGGGACACCTGTTGATACTGGTAAGGGGAAGGATGCTCCCAGGCCTACTTCTGCCTGCTTGCATGTCACTCACACCAACCACTCCCGGCTGCCTGACCACGTTCTGCACCTTCAGGCTCCTTGCCTTTGCCCTCACTGGTCTCCACCTGGGCAGTAATTCTCCTCCTACATCCCTGGGTGAAACCGAGTCATCTTTAAGACCAACATCACGGCTCTGGGAGGCTGCCCTCAGCAGCAGAATTAAGTGCTCTTTCCTTTATCCCCAGAATAATCAGTATATCACAGTGGCAGCTACTTCTCTGCTAGTTTCATGGCTGCACCGGTGGGGGGTGGGGGGGCTGGTCTTTCAGGGCAGGAATACTCTGTTACTCCACCATCACAAAACAGGTCTAAATAATCAGGTACCTCAAGATCTTGTGCCTTCATCCCCTAGATGACATCAACGGAACAGTCAGGAGGACGCTAGGATATATTTTCCATGTGAAGATGTATCATCAAGACTGCTGTAGAAAAGAACATATAAACCCGTAGCAGAGAAGCATTCTTTTTAAGGTCTACTAAGTGCTGGATTCCACCTTTTTTTCTTCCCCAGGAATTTCCCCAAGTAATGAAGGTGGCCTCGTTCACACTTGGCTGGCTACAGATTTCCGTCAGATTTTTGTTTTCTTCCAGATCTCAGTGCATGGAAAAACTATCGTAATTTCCTTATGGACCTAACTATAATTCTGTGGGCTGATTAGCAGTGAGGAAACCACGACCCTCTGAGGAGCCTGGTCAATCCATCTTTTCCATCTGTTCCCGTAATGGCTTATCACAACCTTTGTGACTAAGGCATGACATGTTATTTTAGGAACAACATCTAGATACCTCTCAGAGATTCCCTCCACATCTTCCCTTCCTCATTTCAAAAACAGTTGCTAATGTCCAGTATTTATAAAATCCACCCTGACATCGATCAGGCACTGACATGACTTAAGTACTTTCTACTAACAGTCTCCGCCTGTGCTTTGTCTCCGACCACCTCAAGCGACCTCGTCCATCCATGAAACAATGTTGCCCAATAATAGCCTGGAATTTTACTTTGCTGAGTTGTTCTAACAACAACAAAGAGAAGGTTAAAGCGGCACACACTGCTGGCGCCCTAGTGGTACCCGCCTCAGCCCCCTCTCCCACACATGCATACGGCAAGGCCTCGGGACCTTCGCCTGATGGTTTTCTTCTGACCCCTGCAAGAAACGGACCTTAACTCTGGCCTCGGGAGCAGCTCTCAAGGACACATGTGGGCTGGAGGACACATACCCCAGTGTTCTGGCCCCTCAGATGGGATGTTTCTGAAGACTGTTTCTTAGAATTCACCAGGGATTGAGCAACCTGCTCAAGAGCACCCTCTTCTAGG